GTAATCAGTGAGGGGATTCTACAGACTGTTGAGGGTTCAGCCTCCTGATGAGTCGGTGAAACTCCGACGAAACAGTTTGTCACAGCCCCTCGTTTGTTGTCCTCTTCTCCCTCTCTGCCTACGGTTTGCCGGGCAGTTCTATTTGACGATATATATATCATAGCATATATATATATATATATTTGACGATATATATATCATAGCCCCTCGTTTGTTGTCCTCTTCTTCCTCTCTGCCTACGGTTTACCGTAGGCAGCTCTGTTTGACGGTATATATGTTGACAATATGTATATGAAATGCAGATATGCTAAAAATAGCACATGCTATGTATGCCTGTTTGCATCCCGTCTTTTTCAACGCTGCAGGCATGGAGGCTTCATCCATTGGTCTTTTCAGGGCTGCATGTGCAGTGACAGGATTCTTGGCAACATTCACGTCGGTGCCCCTCATTGCTCGTTTAGGGGTGCTGAAGGTAATATACCCCCCTTGCCCCCCTCCCTTGTCAGAGTTTGTAGTACTTTGTAGTAAGTTTGTACCATTTATTTACTAGACCTTTTTTGAATGCTTAAACTTTAAATAAAGACCTTATTCTGAGTTATTCAGGGCCTTTGAGGCTTACAGACTTTTTCCTCCCTTTTTTTTTTTCTTTTTTTTTTTTTAAGACCTTTTTGACTGATTGAGATGTAACATTTTTGAACTTTTTCTTCCTCTCTCTCTCTCTCTCTCTCTCTCTCTCTCTCTCTCTCTCTCTCTCTCTCTCTTTTTCTTTTTTTTTAAAGACCTTTCTGACTTCTTAAACGACCTTTTTTTCGTTTTTCTCCCTTCCTTTTTCCTCCCTTTTTTCTTTTCGCTTTTGTTCTTCTTCGCCATTGCATTCGCCTCTCCTCTTGGTTTCTTCGGATTTCTCTTTTCGTTATCGCTCTCCTTGTCCCTATCCCTATCCCTATCACCCTATGTGTTTATCCATCCTTATCCCTACCTTATTTTTTACGCGCGTTTGGAGAGAATTTTCTGTTCGCCGTTTTCGGCATGTTTTGGAAAACATAGAGAATGAGGACAAGACCACAACTGCATTCAAGAAGCAGCAACTACCGTCTTCACCCGAATAGAACACCCACTCACTATCGCTGTACTTGGACTGCGAGTTGGCCCATATGCAGGTATAATAACCGGGCGTTCTATTAGGGTGAAGACGGTAGGAGGAGATTGGAAAATCGTGACGATTGTCAATAGCAGACTTCAATTTGGTTAATGGAGACACACCAGACTATGCCAGCCCTGCATATCTGAGGGAGATGCCCAGAAGTAGAACCCAGCTCACAAGCTCTTTTTTTTTTTTTTTTTTTTTTTTTTTTTTTTTTTAAACAAAGCTGCCCGTTTAGGAGGTAGGGGCGCTGGTATGAGCAGACGCCTCTATCTCCCCCGGGGAGGCTCCATCTATTGGTGGGGAGCAACCCCTGCTGGAAAACGGGTCCAGCGTCCCTTGACAAAAGCCATTGAGGTCCATCTGAAGATTTCCTCATTTTCAGCCAGCATTGATTGCCCTGAGTAAATGGGATTAACTGAGCCGGAAGATGAGTAGCCAGAGAGGGAGGAAGAAGGGGCCTGGGCTCTAGATATGCTTGTGAGCTGGGTTCTAATCCTCGGCATCTCGCCCGGATATGGGCATCACCCCCGTCGGCTATGGGCTCTACACATGGAAGCCACAAACCCAACAGAAGATGTAGGGGAGGCAGAAAACGGACATTTAAGAAAGGAGTGTTTGATAAAGGCATTTAAGATGATTTAAGGCGATTAGTGTTAGAAGATAGAGACATTCTCTACTGCTCGTTTTGTCCAAGCAAAGCCGACGGTTTGGCAGCTGAGAGGACTAAGTACGAGACAGAACCCCCAAGAACCCTCAATTAGTGTCACAGCCAAATGTCCAGTAGAATCAAAGACCCTGGAGTCGACCAATTTTAAGAGTACGGCGCCGAGAACAGCTTAGGCAGGGGTGAGGGACGGGGGGGTTGGTATGTCCTTCCCATGGGAAGTAATCAATGCCGTTCACTCGGGCCTTCAAAATTGTGTATTCCCTTTGACTTGCCGGTGGAAAAGGGACTGGACTGATGCTCCCCAGAATGGATCTGGAGCCGGCACCGTAAGGTTCTTTTTTTTTTTTTTTTCAATTTTGAAGATAAAAAGAACAAGCCATGGAAACAACGTAGAATCGAGTCTTGAACTTCCAATGCATCTTCAGCAACTGCATCAGCCATTCACACACGTGCAATGACTTGCTGTTTTCTGGTCGCCTGTAGCCTCTCTCTGTCGATGTACGATAGTTAGGACAGATTCGCAATTTTGTTTGGCTGAGGTCTAACCGAGAGACCTACCTGTGAGGGAAAATTCCTGAGGGACATATCTGCAAATCCGGGAAAATACAAGCCCGGTACGAACCAGATTCCCTACAGCTACCCTAACTGCGTATAGCAGGCCCGGGCTACCCTAGGACAGACAGGCCCTAAGGGCCTATTCTGAATAGACGGTCCTATAGCCTACAGCCGGGTCCGGTAGAGGCCGGGAGGCCGAAACAGAACGGTACCCGTCGGTCAGTCAGTCCGGTCCAGGTCGAGTCTAGGCTAGTTGTAGTCTATAGATAGATTGGGCACATCGGTTTAGGGCTTTTGGCAGTTGGTACCGAGTACATCGCTGTTGTGCTGCGCGTGAACCGAAAGTGGTGACAGCTCAGCGTGGAAGGAGACAGGCATAGCCAGACCTTCGGAGCGCCGGCCATAGCTGGGACCTGCGCTGTACTCTGCCAGCACGTAGGGGCTGACA